GTCATGCAAATCAACTTTAATGGAGTCTTCAACTCGGCCACTGCTGCTGCGCGGCAGATGTTCAACTACCAACAGAAGGGTTCCATCCTTCTCATTGCCAGCATGAGCGGTCTGATTGCCAACAAGGGAATGACCTCTCCCGTCTACAACGCCTCCAAGGCGGCTGTGATCCAGCTGTCCCGATCCCTCGCTATGGAATGGGGCCGTCACGGTATCCGCGTGAACAGCCTGTGCCCCGGCCATATCATCACCCCAATGGTTGAACAGGTGTTCCAGCAGAACCCTGCATCCCGAGCCGTCTGGGAAGCCGAGAACATGCTCGGACGACTTGCCTACCCGGAGGAATTCCGAGGTGCTGCTCTCTTCGCTCTGAGTGACGCGAGCAGCTTCATGACCGGCAGCACCATGCTCATCGACGGTGGCCACACCGCATGGTAAAATGCAGCTGCCTCGTCAATGATCACGAAGGAAAAAATCTACTACTACCGGAGTTGGCAATAAATAAACAACACGTTGGGAAATGGTATTTAGAGAGGGTCCGTCCGGGGAGGAGTTCTATAAATAGCCTTGTGTGAAGGGATGAGCATTTCAAAAGTCGCCTACTATTATGGATGATTCTTTTTTCTTGGGGAAAGGGGGGACATACCCATGGCTTCTTTTTGATGTATCATACATACGGTTTTCTTATCTTTCTTCATGGCCTCATCACCAGCTTTATTTTTTTTTGTTGCATTCTCTTTTTGGATATGAGGGTTTTAAAGCGCGTCAAATGAACTGGTTTGGTTAATGGGATGATTTGATAGCTGTTTGGCTTGAATGATTCTTTTACTTTGCTTGAATGGATACGATAGGCTTTAGCCTCTGAAAGGAAGAAACCATTGATGTATCAATTATTCCCTCATGGTCTGAGTATGACTCTCGTATCTATCTAAACATAAGATTTCCACACATTGTCCACTACTCAACCTACGACTAACATCCTTTTTCTATAAAAGCTACCCAATTTCAGCAATCTACAAAATATACGTAAACTTCTCCCCCCTCCCACCATCACCACCACCACCACCACCACCTTGACCACCCCCAAACCCCCCCATAAGCACCTCCCTCTCCTCCAACTCAATCCCCTCCCCATCATTCCCATCCGCACCCCTATCCCCCTTTTCCCCCCTCATCTCCCTCCCCAAAAGCACCCTCAACACGCCCGCCAAAACCGCCACACCCACCATACACCCCGCGCAGACCGCCATGCCAGCCACATACCACGGGCCCTGACTCTCTGGATACAGCCTCGTGCCCAACAGTGGCCCACACTGCCCAATAACATTCAGCAGGGCGACGCTCGCCCCCTTCCCCTCGTTCGCGGGCCGGTTATCCATAGTCCAGGTGATGATGAGCGTGATTGCGGAGAAGAACCCCGATGTGGCGGGGTAGACGGCCAGATAGCGGATGGCGACGTGGATGGCGGGTGGGAGGTGCGAGTGGAAGTGTCCCGCTAGGGCGATGGCCAGGTAGGCCGTTGCGGAGAGCAGCGCGTGGAAGATTAGGTATGGGCTGCGCGTGCGGGTGCGGTCCGAGAGGTGGGATGTTAGGAGGACGGTTAGGAAGGAGAGGAGGTAGGGTGGGGCGGAGAGGGCTTGGGATGTTAGGGGGGTGTAGCCCATGCTGTGGGGTTTGCTTCGTTAGTTTGGGGTTGGGTTGGTGGAGGGCGAAGGGGGAGGGTTTACTCTTGTATGATGGTGGGGAGGAAGACGGGCATGGAGCTGAAGGCGACGTTGCAGGCGAAGAACATGAACTGTGATGATTGTGAGTGGATGGTGGACGGTAGAGATGGTGGTAATCTGGGGAGGGATCTCACGGCTGTGATATAGGATTTGGGATCGGTAAGTGTCTTCTTGACTTCTTTCCAGTTGAAGGATTTGCGCTGCGGCGATTGCTGCTGGTGTGGTTTGTGGTTGGGTTTGAGCTCGTCCATGCGCAGCTGCGCGATGGCGCGCTGTCGGGGGTTCAGGAATGAGGCGCTGCCTGGTGTATCGGGGATGAGCATCCAGGCGAAGACAGCGACGACGATGCTGGGGAACCCTTCGACTAGGAAGAGGGTGCGCCAGGGGGCAATTGGGCCGTTGTCGCTCACGCGGACGATGATCCAGGCGAGGCTGCTGGCGAAGGATGAGGCCAGGGGAGCAGCGGAGATGAAGAGGCCGTTTCGGAAGGCGAGCTCTTCGCGCTTGTAGAAGAGTGAGAGATAGAAGGGTACTCCAGGGCTGAAGGCCGCTTCGGTGATGCCGAGGGCTGCTCGGAGGAAGACGAGAGCTCCGAATGAAGTAGCGAGTGACTGCAGAGATGCGACAAGGCCCCAGCCGCAGACGCAGAGAGCGATGTAGATGTGCGGTGGGACGAGTTTGTACATGAGTGTCATCCATTCGAAGAGAATGTAGGTGATGTAGAAGGCCGTGAGGAGCCATTCATATTGCGATGACGAGAGATGCAGGTCGTCGGCGAGACCGGCGATTTTGGCATTTCCAATGTCTGGCGTATGTTAGCTGATATCATTCTTAAGATGGGTTATATAGAAAGTCTTGGCTGCGCCAAGGACGAACCACGTACTTGAACGATCCAGAAATGAAAGTAGATAAAGAAGAGCTAGAAAAGGGACCAATTTGCGATCGAATTGCTTGATGACTCCATCCTCTTCCTCTTTCGTGTACTTTGGCATGCTGATTCTACTACTCGAAAGGGGTTGTACATCTTCGTAGGAATCATATCCTTCATCGAACCCGTCGTCAGTAAACGACTCCCCATCTGAGCTGAAGGCCGTCTGTACTCTCAGAGACCCGGCTGCTGGACGGTTTGGATTGGGAGAAGCATCATTCTCGGAGCGATCGGAGACAGGCGTATACTGAGGAGTGGACGAAGATCCACTGGAGACGGAGATGGCCTCGGTCGGGCCGGGGCGCAAGGAGGCCATCTTTGGGGGATTGGGGAGGGGTAGGAATGGCTTAGAAACTCATGCCTCCTGAAAGTCTAATGACCCGACCACTACCAAAAATGCCGGTCGGGATTGACGGCTTCGCCCTGAATGCGATGGAATTGTTACTGCTCGGAGGTTTACGTACACGCGTTGGAGCAAGTCAACATCGAGAAAGCAGATCGGAGGCACGTGGTGGCCGCTAAAGCAGCGATTTGCGCCAAGCCTTCATGTCATTTTCTCAACTACAAAGTACTAGCCAGCTACGTAGATAGTTATTTATTAACAGAAACGCTTCCTCCCTCCCGCCTCTCCGTTCTTAACATTCCCCGCTTTGCCACGCTGCAATTCAATTCAAAGCTCCAGCATCCATATTGAAGACAGAAAAACGCCCATCCCAATGCACCGAGGCTAGAACGCTTCAAAACGCCAGTAACTAAACCAACCCTTGCCTATCAAGCAACAGCAGCCTTTTCCAGACTCCCATCACTGCTTGCCAGGACGATAGGAGTCAACCTCGCGGTATCGGTGACGACGTCCCCTTCTTTTCTTGGAAGGATGATTGTGGGTGGAAGTAGTTGCACGAGGCTCGTCGAAGTGACGTCCGCGGCCCGCTAACTGAGCAGCTTTGCCCTTGGCACGTTCAAACGAGTTCTCGATATCAGGAATCATGGGATGGTCCGACATGTCGTTGACTAGCAGAAAGTGAAGCGTATTTTCAGATGTATCGCGGAAGTATTTGGCCAAGCTGATGTCAATATCTTCGGGGTCCTTCTTGCTGTATTCGGCCTTGGCCTTTTCGTACATCTGAATCAGTCGTTCCACTTGTTCGCGGCGACGAACTTCCTCAAGAGTGGGGGGTGGTCTTGGAGGAAGTATGTGCTGCAATCTACGAGAGTGCTCGTTGTCTTGGACGTGAGTCTTGAGCGCTTGCTCGGGAGTCTGGGGTTGCTCCTCTGTAGCTGTAGCCTCGTCGGTGATGCTGGGGGATGCAGTTGCTGCGAAGCCAATGAGGAATTGTCCATGTTTAATTTTAGATGTAAGAAAAAGAAGAAGGGAAGTAGCCACCTCTGGTCACAGTGTCTTGCAGGATGTCATAGTCATGCAAAGCCTGTTTAGCATGGGCAATGGGAGAAAAAGTACAGACCCCAAGATATTCAGCCAGGTAGAGTTCGAGCGCTCCGACGTCTTGGGTATCATGGCCACCATTGGACAGGATCATTAGAGCGTTGTCAAAGACAGTGATCTCTGCGTCTTCAACGTTCCTAGACCGGTGTCTCACGAGCGATGCCTGGCGTTGAATTGCGTCGACGAGAGATCTCATGCTCTCTGGATCCTGAAGGATGGCCTGCAAAACAGCATTGGGCTCAGTGATGCGATCATACTTCCTTACGAGCTCGTCCACTTTGCGCTGGAAGAACTCGGAAGTCTGGACGTCGCGACTGGCCATGGTTGCTGCCTTGGCGAGCTTTTCTATAGGTGAAGGGTCAGATGAAGCTTGGGGATGGAGACTGGAGAAGTTACTTCTCGATGATAGGGGCGCTTACTTATGGAGATGTACACTTGCTGATGAGTTGGTGAACAACTGTACTGGAGAGGTATGAAAGTCAAGGAGAGTAGTGATGAGAGATATCGAACCTGTTCAACAACACATAAATACTAGGCGGTAAATGTTAACAGGTAGTGAATTGCTGTCGGGTCTGCCTTGCAGGGCGCATTTGTGTATGGTTTGCGCGCGCAACTATTGCACAGAGCTGCATGTTCACAGCATGAGTGGGCTCATTGAACAGTGCAAACGGATTAAAATGATCAGAGTGGGATAGACAATATGAAACCGTAAAGAAGAGGAAACCCGAGCATGATAGAAAGCAAACAATGATTATAATTAAGTAGTAGGCATACAAACTGTTCGGCTAAAGACATGTCATAACTGGATATAGCATAGGTTGCCCTCACACATCATTTGCATCACGAAAAAGCTGTCACATCAGTCATAGCACATTATTAGTATCTCACCAAGCACAGCAAAGGCTCAGTTGACCTTGTCCCACAGCTTCTTCACTTCGTCCACGAGCACCGAGACTTTGTTGCCCTCTCCTTCCTGGGCGCAGTCCCTCCAGACTCCACCATCCCGGATACACCAGGTAGACTCGTTCAGTCGGAGCGTACAGCTGGTCCTGACATTGAGCTTCTCACTGTGCAGCGCACTCTTGCGCAACAGAGCAATGCCACTAAGCGGTGTCTGCTCGTCGCTATCATCGTCGTCGCCAAGGTCATCATACTCTCGACTGGCACACTTATTCAGAGCCTCAAAGTCGATACCGTGCTCCAAAGCACATCCCTGAACCAGGTCGCGCTTCGGAATATCGGGATACGAGCTAATAAGGCAGTTGGCAAACCCGAGCGACCGGATGGTTGGAGTACGGGACTCCTTGGAGCACATGGCCCCGGAGTCAGGCGGAAAAGGCAGATTAGCCGCACAGAGGATGAGCATGTCACCGATGCATTCGGTGGGACCGTGCATGCATTGGATCTCCGATGACTTGTTGGATACTCTGGGGCACAGTGTCAGTTTTCCGAGCAGCTGGGAAGGCGAAAGGACAGGAAGTCTACATACGCGGCTATGAAAGACAGCTTAAAGTCAACCTTATCGCTGATCTGCTCCATAGCAGGAAGGACAAGCTGTTGGAGACAGTCCCGAGCGTCGGGGCATTTACTCATGACATGAGCTTCTAGGGGAATTCTGTTACTCGAGGCCAGGCTTCCGTCGAGGGTGGACAGCTCATGCAGTGGGCCACTCATCAACGGAGCTTCCTCCGCGCCCAAGTCCGGGGGAAACGAAGCATCATGGTGTCTTCTCCATCTATGACACGAAAAGAGCTTAAGGCCGGAAATGGAGATGGGGGTCCACGATAAAGCTAGGAAGGCGATGGTGATGAGCCCCAGACATGCGGCCAGCCGAGTAACAACCCGGTCGCGACGGGTGCTGATCGGTCGCGCCACGGACGACTCGGAAAGGTCGACATAGCCGGAACTGTCGGCTTTGGATTGAGTTGGTAGTTTTTCCATGTTGGCTACCACCCGCTACTTAAACGGTAGCAGTAATGGAAGGTTGATGGAGGTTGGTGAAGGGGAGGATGATGATGATGATGATGAAAAAGTAAGACCAGAGGTGAATGTGGGGAGATCGCGATCCGATCCAGCGATACCATTCGGCGGGGGGTTCCGAGAGCAACCCAGCATTTCGCCCTCTCGTTACACTGATGCCCTTCCTCCCCGGTCAAACCCAAACAGCCTTACCAGGTGAAGAGCTTCATCCACAGATGGCGACCATTTGGATGATAGGCTCTAATTGACTCTTTGGAGCATTCTTTCTGAGCTGCCTTATGATGTCTACCGTGGGCCGTACTAACCTCTCCGATCCCTTCCTACATTGGACTGCCGTCGAAGAATCATGCATGGCCTGAGGTTGCATCATTCCGTAGAGTCTAATTAACTACCTTGAAGACTACTCCACTCCTCCCATACTGTACATCTTACTCTAACCTGCTTAGCAGACCAGACGTAGTATCTGCGAAAGCGAGCCTGTCCAACTGTGGACCATGCTACCCCGGCATTGCACTATCACTACGGAGTAGTTTGGCCTCTATCCCAGCCTTCAATGTTTCAAGGCCAATTAGATCAAGGGGGGCAGACTGTATGATATGGATTGTGTACGAATCATGCTTGCTGTCACTGTTAAGATGCAAGCATCAATGCTTGGCATCAGCTAGCTTGGTGACTAGGGTGTACTTACTCCAGTCACGGCCTTGCATGGTATTCTTGCAGCGTCGGCGAACGTTTGCTTGACGGATACCGGTCTGCTCGCGAAGGTTAGTCGCATTGTGATGGCAAGCATCGGGCAGTACATCCAAGAGCGCATGATACCTGCAACCCTCCAAGCGCTACCGAAAGGTCTATCACATGGCGTGATTGTTCGCTAGTCACAGACTAATAATGTTGGATAGATTGCAGATAGGGTCATAGAATAACCGGTGAACGGCAACTTTGGGCCTATCATCAGCGCTTGTGCAGGCCTCATGCCAGCTAATATGCAAATTGTTGGTACTCGGAAGACTCCACTTGACTAGTACTCACGCACAACGGAGTAGGCACCAAAAAGAGCTTGATATGAATGTAGTCTTGACGATCACAATGCCAGAATCGTTCCGAAGGTGAGGCACAGAGTGTTTCCCTGCCTACCGTTGTGAAGAACAGTTGTAAAGCGGCGCTGGGGGTTCCAGGGAGTGACCTCCAATGCCTGTTTCTGCTGTTGCAGGGTCCGCCGGTCCCTAGACTACCCCTATCACGCAGATCCCAGGGACGTCTGCCTGCTGGATATCTCGGGAGCTCCGCACTCCGCAGGCTAATTTTCCCTGCTCCGCCGTCACTCAACGGCTCTCCGACCTCGGAGTCTAGTGTCTGACATCGACACTGGACGGTTACAGTGATGATGAATCCAGACACCGTCTGCGAAGGTCCTACCCCTAATAAGCCAGATAATCGTGCTTACGGTCGTATGTTTACTACACGATGCTAGCGAGAGCTTTTTCCACAAAGAGCTGGACAGCCAGTAATCGGTACCACACCATCTCAGGGTCCACAACGATCTCACTATCGCCATGGAAATTTGGAGCATGATTTCCATAAACGTCTTGATGGTGAATCTGGACCTTGTACGCCGTGAATCGACGAGCTTATTGTTACTTGACAATCCAGGGTCAGTTGATGAAGGTGTGGCTGGAATACGGGGGCCTGATGCCACTTAGCTTTCCCAAATAACGGTTGAGCCGGAGAGGCAGAACGGGACTTCGTGTGCCAAATACCACCGCGTCCAGGCAAGAGAAGAGGCCGAAGCACCGTTCTCTCTTACGCTTCTTTATCCACCTACACGGTATCAGCAACAAATGGGAGAGGTGGAAGACAACGCCCTGAGTAGACTAAGGTGGGAGAGCCACCGGGTTCTGACTCGACGGGCATTGATGTTCAAGTCTGTGCATCACAGATGGAGGTATCGCCCCACTTTCCCACCACATGGTTTGTTTGGCTCCAGGTTTCGTTTATTTTTGCAATTAATTTCTTAGCTTTTGGCTCTCCATGTCTTTCCCAGTTATTTGTGTAATAGACAGGCGCGTTTGTCGCTCGTGAAAAACACCGAGAGATTTCGAAGTTGTCCAGAAAGTCCCTACTATACCCATCGATGAGGACTTGTCCGAATAGAAAATGGATGATTACTAGAGATAGAAATGGTCAGTAGTAGCCAGAGCGGAGTAGTAGAGGGGAGAAAAGTAGTAAGCGGAAGGAATGGAACGAGAGGGAGATAATTCCCTGAATGGAATAGAATAGATAATTGAGATGGGAAAACAGCACCATTGTTTTCATAGTTGGACTTGCACTAAAGTAGCGGCGTCTCCGATAAGGAAGCAAGCAAGAGAGAAGAAGAGGAGAAGGTGACGTTGGTTAATCAATTGGGGGGAAAGAGGAAGAAGGAAACGGCGCTGCCCCGGAGGGGAAATAACCACGACGAAGGGGAAAAAAAAAAAAATAGAAAAAAAGCACGAGTAAACAAGCAGGAGAATCCCATCATCATCAATCAATGGGAGACCAGGAATGGGCAATTGAATCTCTGGGTCTACCTTGAGGGACCCGGACTGGGGCCCCGATCGAGCCAACGGACGAATCCATGGTAGTCGACTGACCGGCCAGCGTCACATCGTCTGGTTGTCGATGGTCGCATTGGCTCCATCCCAGCGGCTCTGGAGATTTTGCCTTTGTAACTTAGTAGTAACTTAGCAGTAACTAGTCTTCGCCCTTTTCTTTCTTTCCCCCCAATTACGACCTCTCCAAAATACACCTCTTCGCTACTTTTCCCTCTCCCTCTCGCTTCTCCCTCTCTCTCTCTCTCTCTTACTCCTCCTCTCCCCTCATCGCTTTCTCTCTCCCGTGTGTGGAGACCCGGCAATGCTTTCCTCTTATCCACCTGCTGGCCCAGTTGTTACTTTTTGTCGTAATGATCATAATACTTAATTGATGGGTTCCGCCATTCTTCCGTCGATCCCCGTTTCTTTCATCCTTAAACGAGCATACCTCCCAAGAATTTTTGATTGATCGATATTTTACAAAAAATATATATATATTGATTGATTTTGGTTGATTTAATCAACTACTTTTTATTTTTAATTATCAACACCGACCCTCGGCTCAGCCTTATTCTAACTTCGGGGCTTAGAACGAGCATAACTGCGGGATCTCCACCAGCGCAACTCTTCTTGGTTGTATGTCATTGTCCGTGTCATTGTTACTTTTGCGCTCCCACCCCCTCCCCTCTTCCCTCCCCTTCCGAGTGAATACATCGTCCCCCTGCTCTTACAGTGCATTGCCCAATGTCTCCCTGCATTAGGATCGTCACCGTTGTACCATCCTTTGCATTTCTGTGACTCCATGATCCTATTTGCCAGACACGCGTCACTGCACTCGACAATGTTGAGACCTGACCATCCGTTGTTCATCAGTGTATGTAACCTTGAGACTGACCATCGCACTCGTCACTGTATAGATTTGCCTGCAAGATAACACTTCCCCCTCCCTCGTTCCCTCCCCTGAACAACTCACCGCTCCTGCTCTGGCCATTACGGAAGTGAATCGTCATTAAGCGCACCCTCCCCCAATTCAAAATCACTTCCTGGCTATCCTTTTAACATCGTGGGATACTCGGTTCGCATGCACCTTATCATCGTCCCAAGGCTGGATCCTCATTCTTGATCTCCCCCACATCCCGTCCTACCTTCGCTTCAAAACATTCCGCAGGGGCGAGTAGATAAAAGCCAATCCTTGGGCACTTCCTTCCGCCGACTTACCGCTCCGTTGTACAAAAATACCTCTGTTTGCTGGCTGCAAGTCACACGGACCGACTGCTTGCCTATCTCGCCGCCTGGCTTAGCCTCTTCCACATCATGGCCCCAATCAATTCGATAGATCTGCGTACAAGCAGGGATGATGAGCACGAACATCTACATGAAGAGCCGGTGGAGGATGAAGAAGAGGACGCCGCTGACTTGGACCCCTCTCAAAAAGAGTACCTGGAGCGCCAGCGCGTGCTTGACGAATACTTGTCTCCCATAGCTTTGGATGAAGCGGTTTTGTATAAACTTGCGCGCCGGTTTTCCACCGTATACCGGGATTTGGCCCTTCATTCGAAGGAGCAGTTCTTACCGACACCGGTGACTAGGTTACCTTCTGGCCTGGAGACAGGCCGATACCTGGCCATTGATGTGGGTGGGACCAATCTGCGGGTTGCTTTCATCGAACTACTGGGGGAGGCTACAGAGTCAGACACACGTTCCACAGACGCGTCGGAAAGATCGCGCGACACCATTCGTAGGGCGCAGAGACAGCGTGTCAGGCGGACTCTTGAGAGGGCATGGCCTATACAAGAACACCTAAAGATGGACAAGGCAGAGGATCTGTTTTCTTGGATCGGAGATTGCATTGCGGAAGTGGTGGCGGAAAGCTTGACTTCTGAATCCATAAAAGGCCATGTTCCAGAGGAATTGGAGATGGGAATTACCTTTAGTTTCCCGATAATGTGAGTGTCCCTTTCTCCGCTGCGATGCTACAAGGTGTGGCTTGCATCTGACCAACTACAGGCAAGAATCCCTTACGGAGGCTACTCTGATGCCAATGGGCAAAGGATTCGCCATCACGTCAGACCTTGACTTGCGCAAGATCCTCCTGAGTGGGTATGAGAAACATACAAGGCGCCTAGATAATGAGGCGGAGCCTTCAAGCAAACGTCGGAAGCTCTTTGAACTCCCAAAACTCAAGATAGCAGCTATCACGAACGATACAGTTGCCACACTTGCTTCCCTTGCTTATGCCGTCAAATCCCTGCCCAATAGTCGAGTAGCTATGGGCATCATTGTGGGTACCGGCTGCAATGCCACAATTCCCATGAATTTGAATATGCTCCATGAGTCCAAGGCGAAGCATGTGAAATCAAAGGACCCGCGGGCGGAGGAGACGGTCGTGAACACCGAATGGACGATCGCGGGTGCCGACCCGCCATTGAAGGAACTCAACATCATAACAAAATGGGATGTGGAACTCGATCGGGCGTGCGCGCGACCCGGATTCCAGCCTTTTGAATACTTGACGGGTGGTCGGTATATTGGAGAGCTCATCCGGCTTATCCTATATGATTATCTTACCAATGTTAGTGGGCTGTCTAAGAAAGTATTGCCCGCGACCCTCATCCAGGAGTATGCCCTGACGACAACTTACGTCTCGGATAATGTTGCCCGTGCTCGGTCGGACCAGGAGCTTGCCGATGAACTTTCACGCTCCATGCCTCCGCCGGAGAATAGCGAGTGGCATTGGGATGCTGTGTCGGCAAACGTATTTCGCAAGATCGCCAGGACGGTTCAGAGACGATCCGCCGGGTTGATAGCCGCAGCGGTTGTGGGTTTGCTTGCTTGTGCGCAGGAGATTGAGCTGAAAGTGGACAGCCACGAAGGTTCGCCGCAGAATGCCAATGTCTCTTTGCCTGAGTACAATGGCACTCCGGATCTGGCCGCCGTAAATACTAGTCTTTCCCCATCATCCTTGGTCCCGGAGGGAGCAAGTCCGAGAGATGGTAGGGTTGTTCCTGTCCTATCTCCCACTCCCACTCCCGCGGACTGGCAGTCAGGCCCTGAAGAGCTGGTCGTGGCGTACACTGGAGGCATCATCCAGCATTACCCCAATTTCAAGGAGACATGCCAACAATATATTGACAGGCTTATCATGAGGACCGGCCCGCAGAAGAGCGGTAAGTCGGTCTTCTTGCGGGAAGCCTCGGACGGTGGTGTCATTGGTGCTGGTGTCCTTGCAGGAATGGTGGGCAACAGGTGAATATTAGGTAGGGCCCTCATCATAGTACTTTACTGATACCGGAAAATATTGGCGCCTTGATTGCTTGGCGAGCGTTTATTGGAGTCTATGGTTTGTAGTCATGGTATATAGAGCCTACATGCAGGCATGTCCTTTCCAAGCGGATGCTGGCCTGGTCTTGTTTATGCCCCCTTTGGCCATTATCATACATAGGACGCAGCAGAGATTGACAGACTGTTCACGGGTATCCATCCAACCAAACTAGTATGGTTCTTGACGTGGCCTTCCTGTGCACCGTCCAGTGTTCGTATGGGACAACATTCCTGATGGAGCACAGCGCCGTCCATCATTGTCAGGAGATGCCTAGCACAGCTGGGAGGTTTTACAAGTCGCTCAAATCAGAGCCTGCGGCACTTATTCAGCTAAGCTGGCCACCAGTCGCCAATGCCTCGACCTGTACTCGGTCTAACAGCTGTTATGGATAAAGTAGCCATCGTAGGCTTTGTTCGGCTCTGTCGACACACCACGATGACATAATGGGATGCTCCTTGACGTAGCTCACTTCTCCGGCTCAGATATAGCGGAACATGTTGTTTCGTACGCTGCGCTTCATGGCGCTAGGTTTTCCATCTTCATACTCAATTCCCGAAGCACCACCACCGCCAGACATTTGCTCGAGCCGCTCTCGGAGCTCTTGATCCGCCTGAGCAACGCTTTTGGTTTTGTCTTGCTTGAGCTTCGATGCTGATTGGTCATCTGATGCATCATTTGATTGCTTTTGGTGCGACGAATCTTGAGCTATATTTCGATTAGCCTTGAATGGGAACGATATATCCAATTTGACTTCACTATCTTACTGACCTTTTGTTTCTGCGAGTCTGTAAGCGGTCGAAGCTATATACCGTGCTCCGGAAGAAGCGTTCGACAGACGAGCTGTCCGGACAAGCAGTGGAGATGATAAAATTGAAGACAGATTCATTGCATTAACCTCAAAGGTAACCTTTTGACTGAGAATAATGTCGAAAACCTGACACTGCTGGCCCATCCATTGATGTAATGGCTCCTGTCCATCACATGATCTAGATCACGTGCAGATACCCCCCGCGACCAACTGATCGCAATCATCGGCTCCACTTCCACTCTCTTAATCTCCCTTGTCGCCTCACTGCCAACTTCACAATGAGCGCCCAGGCATACTACGAGCTCTATCGCGGGAGCAGGTATGACAGGGTCAGCGACTACATGTCAGGAAGTACTACTAACACCTCTGCAACAGCCTCGGACTCTCCCTGACCGATACCCTCGATGACCTGATCAACGAAGGACGGATCGAGCCTCAGCTCGCCATGAAGATCCTCTCAACTTTCGATCGCGTGATCACAGAAGTGCTGGCGGACAAAGTGCGCGCTCGTCTGACCTTCAAGGTACGCTTACATATGAGGATAAGGAAGGCTGCGTCTGAGGAAGATGAAGGAGGCGAATGAGGCTGACACAGCTCTTCTTACCACCACAGGGACACCTTGATACCTACCGATTCTGCGATGAAGTGTGGACATTCCTGATCAAGGATGTTACGTTTAAGCTGGACAACCAGACTACGGTCTCCGCGGATAAGGTGAAGATTGTGAGCTGCAATAGCAAGAGGCCTGGTGAAGCGTAAGGGTGAAGCATATTCACTTTGCGTCATCGGCTGGTGCTCTCGTTACCTCACTTGTTTACTTCGATCTCTTCTCCTTCTGCCAGTTGTTCTGATAGGCGTTGTTCGTTCACTTTTTCGCTCTTCATGTGGATTACTCTTTCTGCCAGGGCCGTGGCAATCTGCTCGATATGGGGCTTTATCATATTTTCGGCGTTTCGCGTTAGCATACCAGGCTGTATTATGGATTTGCTATGGTGATACTAGAATAGATTGAAATCAGATACCCGCTACACCATATGAGGCAGACAAGTCGTAGGTTATAGACAGTCGTACTGCTTGCAGAGCACACATTGCTAAGATGGCCACAATACAAATCCCACAGAAATAATAGCCTCTTTCCAAAGAGACACCCTTCACACATGTAAAACCAATCATCAACGATTCATTCAAACAGACAAGCATATCAACATCATGAGGCTGACAAGTGGATCTCCACCACCTAAAGTAACTTAGATAACTAATCCGTGCGGAGGCGGGGAGAAGCCGCGTATCAGCGGTCGCAAGACACCACCATCGTCCGTCCAGTGGGGAGTACACATCCTCCCTATTCATTTCCATACATACTTTCCTCACTTAATACTCAACTAATGTTTAATCTCCCATAAACACCATATTAGCCATAGACAAAATGCCTCGCAATCTACCTTGGCTATCCAACGCAGCGACAACAACCATCAAACGAGAACCGAAGACCTCTCCGTCAGATACACCGCGTCGAACCGTGCAGCGCGAGAGCAGAGCCAAGGAGGAAGAAGCAGAAGAAGAAGACAACGATGTGACACCAAAAGCCGAGGCGGCGATGACTCCAGGGTCGAGGATGAAGAAGCGCGATTTCATGCGGTCTTGTATGTACCTTACATCTGACTCTCTTTCTGCAAGTTGAGTATACTGAGGTCCCCTGACACCTTGCTATAGCTCCTACGCCGCCGTCCTCTCCCATCCATCGCTGCCCGTCTGAAGAGTACGTGATCATACCATAG